GCCTCATATGCTCCAACAATTGCAATATTTAATGAGAAGATTGAAGCTTTAAGACGTGAAGGTGGACCCAATGTGGATAGATTCTTGGAAAATCTTCATTATGAAAACTGGGCAAATGCTCATTTTAAAGGTAAACGTTACGGTGAGATGACCTCTAATGCAATGGAGTCATTTAATTCTTGGATAATTAAGGCACAAAATTTACCGATCACAAGCATGGTGGACACTATACGGGGACAACTAATGAATCAGATGGGGTGCAGGTTGGCTACATCTCACACATGGAATGGAAATTTGTGTCTTGCTATGAAATCTAAATTACATATTGCATTTGTTGAAGGGAGATCTTGGTCTGTGAGGGTTTCAAGCAACGAAGTCTACGAAGTCAACTCATATCTTTCGGTTTATGTTGACATTCAGAATGGAACGTGCACATGTTTTCAGTGACAAATTAATGGTTTTCCTTGTTCTAATGCGGTAGCTGCGATATATAAAAGTGGGAGGAATATGAACGAGTTTGTGGATTTTTATTATCATGTAAGCACATACAATAAAACATATTCTCAAACTATATTTTCTATCCCGACTCTTTGTCGTCTAAATTTATCGGTGGAGGAAGCTGAGATATTGCCGCCATTATCTAAGAAGCAGTCTGGTAGACCAAAGAAGTGTAGAATAAGGTCACCTGGTGAACTTATTAGGCGAATTCAATGTGGTCGTTGTGGGCGGTTAGGAAGCCACAACAAAAAAACATGTAATGTGGCTTTGTGATTGGATTACTGTTTTAAATTAATGTTTTTCCAGTGTTCATTTAGTTTTGTTGATCGGAGTTTTTTTTTTCTTTTTTTAATTCCATAAGAATTTATGTCCAAAAACAATAAAATTTATGACAAGAAAGAGTGTCAGCTAATAGTTAGTTATACAACTAAAAGTAGTCCAATACAACCTGTACAAAATAAGTGATACCACATATTAAAGTATATATTGTCATCAAATAGTGGAGACAAATATTAGACATACAAATAGTGTCACTAAAAATTTACATGAGATAAAAATTAATATACACCAACCAGTGGCGTCATATAATGCTTTCTTAATAGTGCTCAAGTAGTGTCAGTAAAGAGTGACAATAATAGATTGAACCTAAATAATGACAATATATATTGCACACTCAAAGACTTGCACCTAACGAGGGAGTCAAAAAATTGTCATGCAAACAGTGTCACCAAAGAGAAACACGAGATATTGACAATAGGGTTCCAATCAATGGCATCATGTAATGTCTCTTTGATAATGTCCAAGTAGTGTCACTAAAGAGTGATAACAATAGATTGACCATAAATGATGACAATATATATTGACCACTCAAAGAGTTGCACCAAAAGAGGGACTCAAAAAATTAGCATGCAAATAATGTCATCAAAGAGAGACATGAGATAATGACAATGGAGGTCCAACCAATGACATCATGTAATGCCCCCTTGATTGTGCCCAAGTAGTGTCACTAAAGAGTGACAACAATAGGTTGACTATAAATGATGACAATATATATTTGCCCACTCAAAAAGTTGCACCTACAGAGAGACTCGAAAAGTTGTCATGCAAACAGTGTCACCAAAGAGAGACACGAGATAATAACAATGGAGGTCCAACCAATGACATCATGTAATGGCGTCTTGATAGTGCCCTAGTAGTGTTACTAAGAGTGACAACAATAGGTTGACCATAAATGATGAGAATATATACTTGCTCACTCAACGAGTTGCACCTACAGAGGGACTCAAAAGTTGTCATGCAAACGGTATCACCAAAGAGAGACACGAGATAATGACAATGGGGGTCTAACCAATGACATCATGTAATGCCCCCTTGATTGTGCCCAAGTAGTGTCACTAAAGAGTGACAATAATAGGTTAACCATAATTGATGATAATATATATTTGTTCACTTAAAGAGTTGCACCAACAGAGGGACTTGAAAAGTTGACATGCAAATAGTGTTACCAAAGAGAGACACGAGATAATGACAATGAGGGTCATAGGCAGAGGGAGGCAGGGGCCAGGGTGGGCATGTGTCTCCCCTCATTTTTTTTTTATTAGTTAGATATATGTATTATATATTTATACATATATATTATGTGTGCCCCCTCATTTATATTAGGCTTACATTATTTACCCAAAATAATTAAAAAATTAAGCCCATTTAAAACAAAAAAAATTGAACTCACTATTATCTACCAAAATTTATTAAAAAATCAAATATTTGACCTATCAGAATCCACTCAAAGCTATTAAAAAAATAAAACTTTTAGTCTAACATTAAAAACAAAATTTTTGGTCCAACATTAAAAACAAAACTTTTGGCCCACCATCATTAAAAAATAAAATTTTTGGCCCACCATCATTAAAAAACAAAACTTTTGGCCCACTTGACTAAAACTTATCTTATCCTTCCTTTTTTTTAGTCCAAAATTAAAAACAAAATTTTTATTTTTGTTTCGGCTAAATAAAAATTGAATTTACTATTTCACAATAATTTAGTGTTAATTCTTACTTTTTTTTTATTCTTGAACTAAATTTTTTTGTATTAATTTCAGCTAATATTTTTTTTATACCAGTTATATTTTGCCTCTATCATAGATATTCATGGCTCCGCTCTTGGCAATATACATTTTTGTTTTGGAATTTTTTTATGTTAAATGGACTTCATATATCAAATATAATATAATAAATATAAATATGTTATATAGTGTGATTGATTAGAAGGAAAAAAAAATTAAAGTGCATAATTAAAGTGCCCACCCTAAACAAAATTCCTGGTTCCGCCCTTGATGGGGGTCCAACCAATTACATCATATATAATGCCCCCTTGATGGTGCCCGAGTAGTGTCACTAAAGAGTGACAACAATAGGTTAACCATAAATAATGACAATATATAACTGTCCACTCAAAGAGTTGCACCTACAGATGGACTCGAAAAGTTTTCATGCAAACAGTGTTACTAAAAAAAGACACGAGATAATGACAATGGAAGTCCAACCAATTGCATCATGTAATGCCCCCTTGATAGTGCCCAAGTAGTGTCACAAAAGAGTGACAACAATAGTTTGACCATAAATGATGGCAATATATATTTTCCCACTCAAAGAGTTTGACCTAAAGAGGGACTCGAAAAGTTGACATAGAAACATTGTCACCAAAAAGAGACAGGATATAATGACAATGGGAGGCCAAGCAATGACATCATGTAATGCCCCCTTAATAGTGCCCAAGTAGTGTTACTAAAGAGTGACAACAATAGATTAATCATAAATTGTGACAATATATATTTGTCTACTCAAAGAATTACACCTAAAGAGAGACTCGAAAAGTTGTCATGCAAACAATGTCACCAAAGAGATACAGGAAATAGGGAAATTAAATTAATGAAACATAAGCTGGAATAATATAACATTAATAAAAGTGTTATTCAAACACAAAAATGGAAATCTTAACATATTAACCTTAAATTACATTTCAAAAAATTGACCAGTCAAATTATAGACATATGCAATAAACTGCCAACATTCAATTGTATCCAGTTAATCTTTGACTCCATATTTTGTCTTCAGTTTCTTCCGTTCATTGAAATCTTCTTCTGTCCAAGATTTGGGATGGTTCAAGAACAGTTCAATCATTTCTGATCGGAATTGTTTCACCTGTGCTATTGTTAATTTCAGTTGTATTTCTTCACCAAGTGCTAATTTTCTCATTATATAGCAAACATATAGGCCACAATCAACCCTGTATTACGTGTATTTTTTCAGTATCAGTGTGTGTATTTTTTGTTCATTCATAAAACATTATGTGAAATACGTACGAGTCAACTTTTTGCTGTGGACATTTGTCGGACGAATAAATTGGCAGAACTCTATCCTGAGTCTCGACTAACATTCTGTTTGACATTTGCATGTCGGATATCTTTTGCTCAACATAATCCTTCTGTATTTCAAAATAAGTAGTAATCAATTGAAATGTAGTAATTATTGCAACTCATAAAATTTTGTAAAATGTTGTATATGGTTGTTTTGATTACTAGTATGGTTGCATCTTTGAGCCAAACATCTCTTATCCCGCTTCTCGGTTTTAACGAATTGTAGTGTATACAAATGCCAACATCAGTATCCAATACTAGAAGTGTCCAATGGTTTGGCTGTCCATCCTCGTTTTCACCAATTGAATTCATGGGAAATACAAGGTATTGATAATCTCTCCCAAGTAGGAGTTTATTGTCAATTTCAACTTCACGTGAATAATATAGCCATGAGAAAGTCACAAAGGTCTACAATTTTCGTGATGTGGACGATTAAATATGTGACAAATGCATATTTCAAAATATTTATAATATTTATATAATCATTCATTTCAATCCAACTTACCCAACAAAAACTGTTGAAGAAAAATCGTCGCTTAAATATTGATTGTTCACGGGCTTCCTCAAATTCATGCAAAATATCACCCCAACAGTCTATGATCTATAAAAAAAAAACATGGCTGCAATTAGAACCATTTTCATAAAATGAATGAAAAAATTTAACGTCTATAGTACGTACATTGTTGTAAAGCGCATCTCCTCCCATAACTTTCAAAGCATTTTCAACATTTATATAGCTTCCGACAAACATTCCGGGCCATATTGTTGATCTGCATAGTTATAACGCAATGATACTTAAAAAACAACGAAAGAGTAACAACATACACAACATACTGAGAACCAGCCCCCAAAAGAAATACACATATAAAATGATTTAGTACACTTACATAGTTCCTTCTGCTTGCTCAATCTGTCTTAATTTTTTGTATATGGATGGATCTGTTGATTGACAAATTTTTCACAACCTTTTCATATCCCTTTCATACTTTTCTTTCTTTTTCCTTTCTCTTGTCTGTTCTGATGAATCACCAACGATGATAATGTCACTGGATGTTTTCATGTGTTTCTTACCCTTTTTTTTGAAGTTTTACTCATAGTCTGCATCCTTTTTCCTTTTCCTCTCTTTTGCTTTCAACTTTCGAACCATTGACATTTGAACTTTCTTCAATTGCATTGGGTCTCTTTTGGTTTCCTCAACTTCTCCTCCTCTTTTTTTAACAGTAGATTTTTCCTTTCCTTTATTTTCAGCACTGTGTGGCAATACTTTATGTACATGAGCAGTCTGATATTGTTGGGTTATGACATGAACAGACAACTCATTAATCTGTTCCACCATCTCTTCTTTTTCGGATTCAAGTCGTGCCACTATTTGTTTTAGTTGTACATTCTCAGCTTTTGATGTGTCCTTTTCTTTCCTCTTTTGTTCAACCGAACTCTCAAGATCTAATATTTGTATGTCCTGATCAATCAATGTCAATATGAATTCCGTGATTTGAGTTGCCATGAAATAATATAATGATTGGTTGTCTTGTTGCAATACAGAATGTTGTGACAACAAATAATAAAACATAGTGCAATCAAAGAGTGACAATAAAGGAAATATTCAACCTACAAAAAGAGTGACCACAAATAGTAAAAGATTCTTAATATAGTAAAGACACCAAATAATTGCAACATTTACTGATACCATAAACAAATAATTTTTTTAAAAAATTGTTGTACTACTTACCTGTTCTCTCTCTGTGCTGACCATATTTCGTATGATTGTTCTAAGAATTTCATTATCATTTGATAGCTTCTCGTTTTTTTTCCATCCTTGCTTGATCTTTCTGCCTCATCTCAGAAACAAGTCTCATAACTTCATCTCTTTCTTTCATGATTTTCTCTTTTTCATTTTTGTTACAAACAACCTGTTCAGATGATTGTTTCTCTGTTGAGTCAGTGAGAATCACATCAACTAGAACATCTAATGGCCCCATTTTCTGCTTCTCTTCTCCCGTGTTATCCCGTGCATCATAATCAACACGTCCTTCTTCATCTTGCCCATTACCCTTATGATTAACTAGATACTTTTTTTTCCCTTCAATAATTTCATTCCTCTCAATTCCATCAACTTGTTTCTCTCTTCCTTTGTAATCCTTCGTGATATGAAAAATAACTTTTCTTCTTTTGTTCTCTTCAATTTTTTCTTCATCACCTGTAAATAAACAACGACATCAACAATAACAATAAATTTTTAAAACATTTGTTATTCTTATATTTTAAATTATGAACAAATACTGAAACTTACATCTTTGGCCTTGATTTTTGCCAACTTTTTTTGTCTGATTGCCATGCTCAGGAGCGTTAAGTTCCATTTGAGAAACCTTGAAATTTTTTTTGAGCAATCTGGTCAGATAATTGATGTGTGCTCACATATCCAAAATTGCAAAATTCAAATACAACATTAAAACAAATGTGTGATGCTTATAAACTAATAACTCATTAAATTGACCATACGACTTTTATTTAAAACACTAGCCGGTATTACAAGGACGCATCTAGTGACTGTGTCAGGTGTCTCTCTTTTTTTTTGTAAGGCATGAAATAAGTGCATTGAGTATTGATTGAGACCAGTTATATTTTTTAATCTCATCCAAATCCTTTATGTATGGAATATACCCCCAGGTTAGTGTCTGCCGCGTTGTGGTAAAAAAAACTGTGACTAACAAGTAAAGACACAGTAACCTAGCAACATTCTTGAAATCATTTTTTGTGCTGCCCCTTGATGCTTGGATAAGTCTACTCTTTATAATTGGTGTTGTCAACCTTCCATCATTTTTAAATCTTCGTTTAACAATTGGAGTCAACACCTTCCCATTTAATATTGAGTCAATTTTCTCAAAACCGTCTTGAATCCCAAATATCAAACTCACACCATTTCTCCGAATTTTTACTTCTTCTGTCCCTATACAAAATCTGGAATTGTTGGCGTTTAAACATAAAATTATCTCAAGTATAATGTTTTCACTTTTTCTGCACCATTTTTTGTCAACATGTTTGTCTATAATGCTCTCAAATAGCAACCAAAATGGGGTCTTCTTCAACATTTTCTTGTGCTCTTCGTTGAAGATAATTTTATCCATTGCTCGTATAATAGCAATTATATTAGATCTATATTGTGGATTATATTTATCAACATTCTTATGTTGTTCAGATTTTTGTTCTTCAACTACTTCCCTACATTTAAACTCATATTTTTTTGCTGATGAGGACCGTGTCTTTGTTATGGCCCTGTATAGTGTCACGGTGTACTGTAATTATATTACAATAACTAAAACCAAAATCAACATCGAACAGTTTAGTTAAATAATATATATTCAAAATATGTGACTTTGTACGTCAAAGAGCTTTGACTTCTCAAAAGATATCATCATACAGTAACACAACGCATAGAGTTTTGTGAAACTCATATAATTCATGGAAAATGAATGTATTTAACTTTAAGGAAAAAAATTGAAGTCATCCTCACTAAATTTATGATTATGTATTTTAGGTTTTCTAGTGTTTAACCTAATGTAAAACCTAAAATCTAAAACACTCAAATAAATGTAGAATATATTTGAATTATCAAAATAGATTCATCATAAAGAAACACTATACCTACAGAGACTCTTATAATTCGTATAGATTCATCATTATTATCAAAATAGATTCACCATACAGAAACATCATATCAATAGAGACATTATTAAAATCAATGTCGAATATTTTCAAATTCTAAACAGAGACTGTTGATTTTGAAACTGTAAACATGATTTCTCAAAAGAGATACACCATACAGTAACTAAAATCATCGTCAAACAGTTTCAAAATCTCAAAAAGAGATACACTTTACAGTAACAACATTTTTACATTTTTTTATTGAACTCTTATAATTCATGGAAAACAAAATATAAGCAAATTTAATATCATTCTCACTAAATTTAGATCTATGAATTTTATGTTTTTGGTATTTTTCAGACAAGAAAAAAATATAAAATAGCTACTTTTCAAAAAAAAAAACTCAAATGTACGTCGAATATCTTCGAATTCTCAAAAGATATTCACCATGCAGTAACACAATGCCTAAGAGTTTCTGAAACTATTAAAATTCATGGAAAACAACTGCATGTAACATTAATAAGCAAATTTAACACTAATAAGCAAGAAAAAAAATTGTCAAATGACCGATTATCTACCAACCAAAATTAATGTTAAAAGTATCAAATTTTTAATAGAGATTCACCAAAGAGTAATATTAAGCCCACAAACAAAAAGAAATTAACATTAAAAATAGAGAATTTTAAAACAATTGTATTTAACATTAAAAATAAATTTTCAATGATATTTGTGTTTTTCAATCGAGTTGAAAACCACCGAAAAACCATTCAATGACTGTTTTTCAATCGAATATCAAATTCGATCATTTTTAAAGACACTAATTGAAAACATTTGATGAGGGAAACTGTCTTGAATCCCAAAAACATTAACACTACGTATAAAATATGTGATTTTGTACGTCAAAGAGCTTCGACTTCTCAAAAGAGATTCATCATACAATAACACAATGCATAGAGTTTTGTGAAACTCATATAATTCATGGAAAACAAATGTATTTAACTTTAAGGAAAAAAATTGAAGCCATCCTCACTAAATTAATGATTATGTATTTTAGGTTTTCGAGTGTTTAAACTAATGTAAAACCTAAAATCTAAAACACTCAAGCCTACGTTGAATATATTTGAATTATCAAAATAGATTCACCATACAAAAACACCATACCTACAAAGACTCTTATATTCGTGGCAACTAAAATCAATGTTGAATATTATCGAATTCTAAGAAGAGACTGTTGATTTTAAAACTGTAAACATGAGTTCTCAAAAGAGATACACCATACATTAACTAAAATCACCGTCAAACAGTTTCAAAATCTCAAAAAGAGATACATATTACAGTAACAACATTTTTACATTTTTTAATGTAACTCTTATAATTCATGGAAAACAAATATATTTAACATTAAGAAGAAAATTTAATATCATTTTCACTAAAATTAGATCTATGTATTTTATGTTTTTGGTATTTTTAAGACAAGAAAAAAATATAAAATAACTACTTTTCAAAAAAAACTCAAATGTACGTCGAATATCTTCGAGTTCTCAAAAGATATTCATCGTACAATAACACAATGCCTAAGAGTTTCTGAAACTATTAAAATTCATGGAAAACAGCTGCATTTAACATTAATAAGCAAATTTAACACTAATAAGCACGAAAAAATGTCAAATGGCCAATTATCCACCAACCAAAATCAATGTCGAAAAGTATCAAATTTTTAATAGAAAGAATCATGCCTACAAATAAAAAGAAATTAACATTAAAAATAAAGAATTTTAAAACGACTGTATTTAACATTAAAAAGAAATTTTTAATAAATTTTCACTAAAATTAGGGCTATGTATTCTATGTTTTTATATTTTTTAAGCAAGAAAATTTTTGATACATGTGATTTTGTTACTGTTGAATATATTTGAATTATCAAAATAGATTTACCATACAGAAACACCATGCCTACAGAGACTCTTATAATTCGTGGAAACTAAAATCAATGTTGAATACTTTCAAATTCTCAAAAGAGATACACCATAAAGTAACATCATATTTACAGTTTTGAAATCAACATTTTCATGGAATTCTCAAAAAAGATATACCATACCGTAACTAAAATCAACTTGAAACAGTTTCAAAATCTCACAAAGAGATACACATTACAACATCTTTACATTTTTTTGAAACTCTTATAATTCATGGACAACAAATGTATTTAACATTAACAAGCAAATTTAATATTATTCTCACTAAAATCAGAGCTATGTATTTTATGTTTTTATATTTTTTAGACAATAAAAAAACTTAACATAGCTACCTTTCAAAAAAATCCAAATGTACATCGATTATCTTCGAATTCTCAAAAGAGATTCACCGAACAGTAACACAATGCCTAAGAGTTTCTGAAACTGTTAAAATTCATGGAAAACAACTGAATTTAACAATAATAGGCAAATTTAACACCAATAAGCAATAAAAAATGTCAACTAATCGATTATCGACAAACCAAAATCAATGTCGAAAAGTATAAAATTATTAATAGAGATTTACCAAAGAGTAACATCATCCTTACAAATAATGAAACTTTTATAATTCATGTAAATGTATTTAATATTAAACAGAAATTTTAAAGAAATTTTCTCTAAAATTAGGGATGTGTAATTTATGTTTTTATATTTTTTTAAAGCAAGAAAAAATTTGAAATATGTGATTTTGTTACTGTTTGAGATGACCCATTGAATCCAAACTGAGTATTTGCTAAAAATTCGGCAAAATAAATCAAAAATTATTTTTTCAGCCAAATTAGGGCTTATCTTTTTCTACTTTGGGAATTTTTTAAGCAAGAAAAAATTTGATATATGTGATTTTCTTACTATTTGAGATGACCCATGGAATCCAAACTCAATATTTGCAAAAAAAATCCGGCAAAATAAAACAATACTTATTTTTTCAACCAAATTAGGGCTTATCTCGTTCTACTTTGGGGATTTTTCAAGTATTAAACAACAAAAAAAAGTAAATGGTAAAAATTCATACCGTTAGAAAAGAGGAACTCAA